AAGGTTGTGATTCTCGTCATACTTGGATGATTGGTAGACTTGAAGATTTTCATTTCTTGTAAAGGTTGGCTTGAAAAGCCATTTGTAGCCTTATATGTCAAAAAATGTATATTTGAATTTAAACATGTAATGTGTACACGAGTACACTCCTTACAATGTATTTGACATGTATAAGATGAGGCCAGAGGCCAATGACATGTATTTGTATTCTATGTAGTTTTAACTTCATGAAATACCATGAGAATATTGAAAAAATGTTAAGTTTTGTCTCACTATGTTTGCATCGAGTGTGGGAGTTCCGTTTTGATTTTTTCGTAGGATCTCATTAATCATGCATGAAGTGCGGCCAAGGGCAAAACGGTAATTTCCAACCATTTGCTAATTTTGGTTTTCAAAATTTCCATTTCAAATTCATTTTCGCCTTTTTGGCCGTTAGGGGGTCGGATTTTGCATCAGTCGTTTCCGGGAGCCGCGGACCATTTCCGCGCACTCAAAATCACTTATTACGTTTGCGTGCATATTCGTTTCAGCCTAGAAGTGCATTTGAGGTCAAAAGTATGTTTGGTGCAAACTTACATTTTTTGCCGTTTTGAGCCTAAACTGAGCATAAGGGCATTTTGGGGTTTTCACTTGAAAAATAAAGTTTTCTTTTGGCATGGTTGGCTAGAAAACATGATTTTGAGGGTAGTTTCTTCTTTGTGTTTTTCTCAAAAGGCCCAGAAAGTCCTCAAAATTGCATTTTAAGTCAGCATTTCAAGAGCAGCCTACAGGAGTTCGAGCGCTCTAAATGGGAGTTCGAGCGCTCGAACTTTGGGCAGATTTCTTAGGGAAATTTTTGAGTGCTCGAAGTCCTTGTTTGAGCACTCGAAGTACTGTTCACGGGTGTGTGTGTCTTGGTTCAGCACTGCACCTCCGATTTCAAATCATCATAACTTCTTCGTTTTAACTCCGAATTGGTCTGTTCTTGAGTCTAAATTGATCACATCGAAATAAGTTTTCCAATGGTACTAATTAGAGCTTCACATTATTCTTATAGCTTAAGTTATTCAAGTTTTAGTAAGGTAGTGTCTGTTTTTGGTTCGAACCGGGATAGGGTTTCCTTTCCTTCGACTTCAGAACTTGATATCTTTGCCATCCGGACCCTAAAGCAAGTGATTCTTGAGTCTATCCTTATTAATTTTTTGTTGTCTTTCCAATGGTGTGCACGGTGGCACCCATTTTAGTGTGGAATAACCATTTTGCCCCTAGGTTCATTCTTATCCGTTTTTGAAATGTTGCTTCCGTATTTTCTTCCTTTGGGTTTCGTGACCTCGTTGAGGGTCACATTGGTGTCTTAGAGGAGTGTTGTATCTCTAGAGACCATTGTTCTATCTTTGCTTCCGCATTTTGGATCCGTTTTGGGTCATCACAGGACACACGGGGTTGAAAAATCCAGGGTCGTCACATGCAAGTGTTAGCGTGTAGTATCATTTTTGTGTAAAATGCTATTTTTGCCTTGAATCATGTAATGTGTACCTAAGTACACCTTTTGTTGCTTATTTTATATGCATGACATAAGGTCAAGGGCCATTAACTCAAAAGTCTACAAGTGTATTTTTAAAACTCAAGAATTGCCATTATAGCATACTTTGTGAAAATGGAGGTTTGGTAAATCGAAATTTGTAGACGGATTGTAATGAGGCCATAGGCCATTGTAGTGTGTCTATTTTATCATATTACACATGTGTGCATGGTCGTTTCCGGGCAAAACCCATTCCTTGGTCATTTGAGCCTCCAATAGACTCATTTCACATTTCTTTTGCAAAAAACTGAGCATAAGGGCATTTTGGGGTTTTTACATGAAAAATAAAATTTTCTTTTGGCATGATTAGTTAGAAAATATGATTTTTTTTTTTTTGGAGGGGGGAGGGGGGGTTTCTTCTGTGTTTTTTTCAAAAATGCCTGGAAAGTCCTCAAAATCACATTTTAAGTCCAAAAAGCTGCTAAGTTTGCCTGCAGGATGAGCGTCCATAGGGTACGAGAGCTCGTAATTGGGGCAGTGGGATTTTGCCTTGGGGCGTGCTCATCTACGAGAGCTCGTTGCCCTTGGACGAGCGCTCATACATACTATTCATGGGTGTGTGCGTGTCTTGGTTTAACATTGCACCTCCGATTTCAAGTTACTGTATCTTCTTTGTTTTAACTCCAAATTGGTCCATTTTTAAGTCTAAACTAACTGCGTTGAAATAAGCTTTCTAATGGTACCAATTAAAGCTTCAGATTCCATTTGTAGCTCAATATAGTCAAATTTTAGTGAGGTAGTGTTAGGAGTTGGTTTGAACCGGGAGGGGGTTTTTCTTCCCTTAACTTTAAGACTTGTTATCTTCTTCGTCTAGACTTCGAATCAAGTGATTCTTGAGTCTATCTTTGTTAACTTTTTGTTGTCTTTGCAATAGTGTGCACGATGGCACCCATTTCAATCTTAAAAGACCATTTTGCCCCTAGGTTCATTCTGGTCCGTTTTTGAGACATCGTTTCCACAATTTATTTTCTTTAGGTTTTGAGACTTTATTGAGGGTCACACTGGTGTCTGATAGATGTGTAGTAACTCTAGAGACCATTGTTTTGCCTTTTGCTTCCGTATTTTGGATTCATTATTGGATCTACGTTCGGTCTGTCATTGGACGCACTGGCCTAAAAATCAGGACCGTTACATGCACAACATCCCTAGGCTTGTTTTGTAGCTTGGAGTACTTTAAAGTATTTTGTACACATGCACGTGTTAGCATGTTTGGCTTTATATGCCAAAACTTGTATCTTTCATTTGAAATATGTAATGTGTACTTAAGTGCACCTTTTGAGACTTATTTGACATGTATGTAATGAGGCCAAGGGCCATGTACCTTTAAGTTTACTTTTTTGCTCTTTGGTTTCTTAGTTTACTTATGAAAATTATGAAATTCGGAGGTTTGGTATGTGATAATTTGCAAATGACATGTATTAAGGCCATAGGCCATTGTAAAATGCTTAAATATATATTTTACGTTTGCGTGCATGATTATTTTCGTGCACAATATCAAACTTGGTGAAATGAACACTCGGAGCTATATGTATTTTTGCATTTTTTGCAAAATCTGATCTTAAGGGTATTTTAGTCATTTCGTTTGAAAAATAAGAACTTCTTTCTACATGGTTGTATAAAAAACATGATTTTAGGGGAGGTCACTTCATAACATTTTTTCCAAAAAATGTCATTTAGACCCTCAAAATCCCATTTCAATCTCAAAAATCAGGTGCAACTTGGGCTACTGTCAAGGTGCTGCTCCGTGATTCAGCGCACGCGTGGCGTACGCCTCGGGTGCCCATGGTGTCCTCCTTTGTAACTTCTTAACCCGATTTTGAAACTATCATAACTTCTTAGTTCGGACTCCGAATCAGACGATTATTGGGTCTAACCTCGTTGATTTTTCATTGTCTATTCAATGGTGTGCTCGGTAGCATCCACTTTTGTTTTAAAAAGACCATTTTACCCCTAGGGTAGTACTTATTCGTTTTTAAAACGTCGCTTCTGCACTTTATTTTCCTTGAGTTCCGTGACCTCATAGAAGGCCATTTTGGCGTCTTAGGGATGTGTTATATCTCTAGAGACCTTGATTTTGCCTTTTGCTTCAGCATTCGGGATTTGTTATCGGATCAACCTTCGGGTCATCATAGGACGCATTGATTTGAAAAAACCAGGGCCGTCACAATCCATCTAACTAGTTATATGGACTTTGGTAGATTGTTTTTTCTCTAGGCCATTCATCTGATTGGTTAGATAAGCCATCTAACGGTTAGATGAGGTCATATGTCGGTTAGATGAGCCATCTAACTGGTGAGATGGACTTCGACAGACTTCTCATTTTCTGGGCTTGTCATCTCATCGCTTAGATGAACCATCTAACCCGTTAGATGAGATCTTCTGATCGGTTAGATAGACCATCTAACTGGTGAGATGATCCTGGGTAGTGCTCCACCTTCTGGAGATCTAACCAGTTAGATAGCCTTCCACTTTTTATTTTGCTTTAGTTGTTTCTTCAAACCTCATTAATGACCTAGGCCACTTGTACTCACGTGAAATGACTATTTTACCCTTGACTTTCACCTTACGACCATTTTACCCTTGATAACCATACTTTTACCATTTTGACCTTAGCTTCTGTACTATGTTAACTGGGTTATCAGGTTGGGTTATGTCCTATTGGTTGATGAACCGAATCATGGGATTTGGTCCATCACAAGGATTCTTTTTGGAAGTCTATGCAAATAACTTGGCTTTCTGAATTCCGTTAAGGGGTCAAACGAACTCAAAATTAAACAAATAACATATCATTGGAAAGCATATTTAGTCTAGTTTCCGACCATATAAACATCATCTTAAAACTCCAAGTGTGGAGTGGGATATGAAAAAAACAAGATAGGTATACCAAAATCAGATCAAATACAACACCCTATATTAGTATTGATTCAAGGGCCACTTAAATTCCAAAATTTTCAAAAATATATTTTGACTCTTGAAAATATTCAAAAATCTTGTTAAAAAGTAAGTGTATTCACACACTCGTTATCTCTTCTAAGTGATATTCAAATATGATCCATAGATATTGGGCTTCTCTCTAACACTTGCCTTTCAGCTTTTGAAATTGGTACTCAAAAGCAACATAAAATTACAACTTGCATTTTGACACCAAAATTTGTTAAACACAAAAATAATGCTTCTCCCAATTTATATGTATGGGTGTCTCATAATTGTATAGACACGTTTTATAAATCATGCTAATAATAATATTTATAAGGTATGGACAATTGGTCCTAACATTTACATATCATATAATTTGAATCTATTATTGATTGTATAAAAAAAAATTGAAAATGAAAATTGGAAAAGAAGTAATGGACAATTTTTTTTTTTTGGACATGGATTGAACTATATAGTATACGCAAACCGCCTATATATATATATATATATCCCTCTCTCTCTCTCTCTCCATATGCATACACGCATATAAAGTACATAGCACGTTCACACAAACCATCTCAAACATTCTTTTCTCTGCTTTTTAAAACAAGTTGCTAGAAAAGAGTTGATTTTTCAGTTCTGAGGTTGCACTTCTTCAGCCTCCACTTTCCCTTCATCCATGGATAATACTCCGGAGTGGCCACAGGTACAGATCTATCTAGCTCCTTGATTAATTGTTCTTGATCTCCATCAAAGTTTAACTACAATTTCTCTTTTTCTCATCATATACATATATATTCAAGAAATCTATACTACTTTTCCTTTTTTGTTGGCTACTTTAACAAAAGATGATGGTGTTCATAGTTGGTGCAAGACATGCATCACTTCTCCTTTTTCAATATGTTGCACTTTATTTTTTTTCTTCCTGCTTAATTATGTGATAAAAGGGTTGGGAAAAGATCAAGATGTATTATTATTTGTTCTTTTTCTTGCTTTCTTCTATGATTTTTGAAAAAGTGTAAAGTAGCTGGCTCTAGCTGACTCCTGTTTTGTTTGTCTGTTTGTTATGATCTTCTTTTAGTTAGCAATTTGTTTTGATCAGTCAAATGTTTTTTTTTTCTTCATATATTTTGTTGTTTTTGGGTTTTTTATTTTTATTTTTATTTTTTATTAGGAGATAGTGGTAAAATCAATGGAAGAGATAGTCCCAAATACATCATTAGAGAGGAGGGCTGCTAAGGCTAGAAATGAACAAGCCTTGAACTGTCCAAGGTGCAATTCAACCAACACCAAGTTCTGTTACTACAATAACTACAGTCTCTCACAGCCAAGACACTTCTGCAAGGCTTGTAAAAGGTATTGGACTGCAGGTGGTTCACTTAGAAACATCCCTGTTGGTGGGTGTTCAAGGAAGAACAAGAGATCATCATCATCGACATCATCATCAAGATCATCTTCATCATCAAAGAATAAGCTTCCTGATCTGGTACAAGTACTACCCCCACAAATCAGTTGTTTACAATCTTCTTCTTCTGCTGATCATCAAAATCCTAAGATCCATGAAACCCAAGATCTCAACTTATCTTTCCAACCCACTCATGATTTCAAAACTCTTTCTGAACTTATACAAGTGCCCAACTTTGACACCAACAAGAACTACGTGATGCCTCCTTCTCATCATCATCAACCTTCAGCTATGGAGCTTTTGACTGGGATCAGTAGTACTTCAAGGGGATTGCAATTGAATCCTTACATGCCGATGCCGATTACGGATCCAAACATGATTTACTCATCATCTGGATTTTCTCTTCAGGAATTCAAACCAACCCTAAATTTTTCTCTGGATGGACTTGGAAATGGTACTGGTTATGGGGGTACCCTCCAAGGGGTGCAAGAGAGTACTAGTGGGAGGCATTTGTTTCCATTTAAAGATCATTTGAAACAGGTCTCTACCACAAGCACTACTAATACTGGTGGTGGTGAGCATAATAGAGATCAGCAAAGAGAGAATTCAAATGGGTATTGGAATGGAATGTTAGGTGGTGGATCATGGATATAAAGAAGATGATATGAACAACATGCATGAGTACTCATTTTTCATGGCTAGTGAGTGTCACTTGGTAGGTGACTTGTTTGGATTTGATTTTCAATATTACTAACATGCAGATAGAAGGGTACATGGCTTCTTTATCTCATTTGCCTTTTTACTTGGAATCATATTTTCTTTGTTGTAGTGATTTTGAAGCTTATTTTAGGTTTTGCTTCAGTAAATTAAGGTGACTTGGGATAGTTTGTAATGATAGAAGAAATGGTATACTAAGCAAAAAAAATTTGAGGCCCAGATTTTTGAAGGGCATCTACATGCAGGCCAGAGGGCTTAATTTCCACCATTATTCCCTTACATATATGTATCATACTCTCTCTTCTATCACATCTGGAAAAGCAGAAGGTTAACCCACTATTATATATATGTCATTGATTGCGTGGGTACAGAAAATAATGTATAATGTACAAGATTGTAAGGATATATTATTGTTACTTTCTTTCAGTTCAGCAAACATATATGTATGGTATTATTGTTAATTTTCTTAAAATCAAATAGTGGCATGCAATGGTAGCTTTGGAATGAATTTCATTTCTCTCACACACACACATAGTAGTTTGTAGCAAAAAGGTCTAATTTTCAGGTGTAATTTACTTAGTCAAGATATAGAGGCCATTGCATGAAGCAAGCAAGTAGTTAGGAGGGTGGGAAAAAAGGGATGTCAGGTTTGAATCAATTATTTCTTTCACATGGCATAGTGAGTGTTGTGTAACAAAGTGGTCCTCAAAGTACAACACAAAAGTAATGTTAATTAGAACCACTGTGCCTGCCTCTACCAAAAGGCTTACTAACTCATTTCTCTATCCAAACAGGGCTTTTAAGACTCACTCAATGCTCTTCTTTCTCATGCCAATGCCATGTTACCTTTTCTTTCTTTTTGTTTATTTTTTTTTTTTTAATTTTTTTTTTTTTTTTTTTAAAAATGTATATTTGAAAGATTGTGAAGAGTCAGACGTATCCTCCACTGTATGGTCTTGTGTGGGACCCAAAAACATTCCCCTTGGTCAGTGTGCTAAGGAATAGAATAATAACGCCCACTTACTCAATCCATCTAGATCTACAACTCCCTTTCTTTCTATTTATATATTTATTTCTTTTATCTTTGCTGTAAGCCACTTAGTGTGCTTAATCACATCACCGGCAATGAAGGGTTTCCATTCTTTTCTTTTATATATATTATACACACGTACACACTAGTATTTATATTCCTTCAAGATTCATTTTGGTCCAATTTGAGAAAATTTTAAATACTTTGTAAGATAAATTGTAAACAAAAACTCGGAGTTTTGCAAAAAAACTCTAGGAATTATAAGAAATTTTTCTAAACTATGATTTTGTTATAATTTATCCGTCACTGAAAAAAAAAAAAAAAAAAAGAAAAAAAAAGACAATTTTGCCCTTATTATAAAATGAGGTAGGTTCAAATAATGCCAGTTGCTGACATTGCGAAGAAAATCTCACCTTTTATTATTATTATTATTATTTTTCGAAATTTTCTTTTTAAAAAGGAACGTAGCTTTGGGGGGAAATCACGATACACAGAACAAACCACCAGCAATCAATCGCCACCACCTCCCCCACTTCCACCACAAGCACCATCAACGTCCCTCACATTGAATCAATGACTCTTGGAAACTCAAACAATTCATGCTGAATCAGACCACACAAACCGTCAAAACCATAAACTCACTGCCACCACCCCCTTCTACGACCACTCTACCTTCATCACCGAATGTAAAACAACACAAATTCACTGCCACCATTCCCAAACCCACTGCCACCACCCCACAACCACGCCCAAAGCAATAGAAACTCAAACAATTGATGCTAAACTCTTATTTTTGACTCTTTAAATTTCCAAGCAGCGATTACAGAGTCGCCATAGACGGCGGCGGTTGTCTTGTAAACCTCAGCTTCTCATCATATCATTTCGAATCATGATTGTAAAGAGGCTTAACGATCTTAATGTATCTCTGCTTCACATTCTCTGAGAATCGATTCTCATCAGAAGCTGATTTGTCACCGGACTCTTTAATTTTTAAATTAATGGTGATGAACTTGCTCTATGAATTGTGATTTTGTACTTCTTGTTGTTTTTGCTGTTTCAGAGTCACCGGAGCCTGGAAAAAATATTTGGGGGGCCAAATTAGTTAATATAAAATCAAATTTAAAAAATAAAATAAAATAATTGTAACTTTTTTAGTTCATTTTTAACGTTAAGAACATGAGTTTATAGATGATATGAAGAGAAAAATAGAGTAAATTAAGAACAATTGAGGTTTTTGTGTGTGTGTATAAATAAAATATGTTGCAATTCTTATTATTATTATTATGTTTTACTATATTTTGAATTTATTAAAGCAATAGGTTTATTCAAATGTGAAGGGTTATAAGTAATTTCATTCACAAACCATATCTATCAAAAAAAAAAAAAAAATCATTCACAAACCACATTCAATAATCTTAGGTAAACCATAAATAGAATTTTTTTTTAGAATTTGGAAAAGGCAAGATTTAATTTTTATATAAAAAATCATCATTAGTAACTATAATAATGGTTTATAATTTAATTTTTACTATATTTTGAATTTTTTTGAAGGAAGATGTTTATTCAAATTTGAAGGGTTATAAGTAATTTTCATTTACAAATCACATTCAATAATTATAAGGTAAACCATAAATAGATTTTTTTTTTTTTAGAATTTGGGAAAGACACACTTTAATTTTTATATAAAAATCACCATTAGTAACTATAATTTAGTACCATAAATAGGGTTTTATAAAAATTTTGAAGAACCAACTTTAGTTTTTAGAAAAATTTCCATTAATAACTATAATAAAGTACCATAAATAGATTTTGTAAAAAATTTGGGGGGGGGGGGGGGGGGGGGAGGGGATGGTGGGCATGCCTCAACCTCCCTCCGCCCCTGGCCGGAGCAGAGACATTATACTTTGATTTCTTGACTTTCAACATCATGACAAACTAAGAACAGAGAGGTGTGTTTGGGTGTTTGAGAGGAATTTTTTTTAGCATGATTCAAAGGTGTGCTTGGGTGTTTAAGAGGATTTTTTTTTTTTTTTTAATATTAGAAAGCCCTGCAGGTTGTGAAAAAAGATGATGAACATTGTCCATGAGGATGTGTTTGGGTTGACAATGAGCAGTGTCTATAAGGGTGTTGTGGAGGGAAAAATCCCCATACCAATAAATATCAGCTACGTCATTAAATAAATTGTGAACCATTTCTTCTAGGCCACAAGATCTTTAAGCCCAGCTTGACGAAGCCCTAAAGAACTATCATCAGCCCAACACCAGATCAACTCTATCCATCTTCCGTTAAATATGCAGCTATAATAAATATTATCCATGATTCAGATTAGATCAATTACGTTATCGAAAGAGCCTCACAAGGAAGAATCTATATAAAGCAAGAACCTTGTATAGAAGAAAAATCTTACATGGAATAATTTATATGAAGAAAGAATCTTATATAGAAGAAAAGTCTTGTATGGAACAGAATGACAAAGAATAGCGATGAATAATACGTGATGGAAAAACAAGATGAATCTTCCCATAATTTATCATTAAATCTTGTATAAAAAGAGGCATGAGCCGACAATGAAAGACATCAAAAAATTCTCTGAATATCTATTGCTTATAGTTTTTATTATTTTATTAAGTGTTTTGTTTTTATTCTTCAATTTATTATAATTGACGAATTTTTGCACCTACACTTTGGCGCCGTCTGTGGGAAACGTATAGAAATATACCCCCACTAGTGATTAATTACTTGTTTTATGCGACTACGTCTCGGGATGTCAACTTGAGGTGCCGCAGATAATCAACAGATGGAACTAATGCAGAAGATGCGGGAAGAGTTCCTGCAACAATTCGAGACGCTAAGACAGATGAACGAAGCCAGCACGGCTCAGATTGTATTGTTCCAACAACGAAACAATTTCCTCCAGATAGCCATAGAGCAGATCGCAGCCCAATCACCACCAGGTAACGCCACCTTGCCAAACAGGCTCAGGGAGGCCTTCCTAACCATGCTGCGCCTCTAGAGGCCGAGGCTGAAGGAATTCCTCTCCATCGCACAGTACCACCAAAAGATGAAGCCCAGGCCAATGACAATGAATAAGGACAGAAGACGAGGAACGAAGCAGGAGCCTCAGAGAACCATCCCCTTTAGTAAACGCAAAATGAATAGGTAGAATCCACACAGAGGCCTGTAGTGTTGCTAAATGGAGCCCCAAGAGCCTTCAATAAAAGAAAGCTCCTAAGGATTTGGATGCCAGCAGAGATGGCCAAAGAACACAAGGATTCTTTGATGAAGACTCCATTCATTGACGAGATAAACTATGTTGAGAGGCCAAAGAAGTTTACCATGCCAGTCTTCACGCAGTTTAATGGTACCAGGGATCCTTCCAAGCACCTCGATCACTGCTTCCAGAAAATGGCCATGGATAACCACAATGATCCATTCATGTGCAAAGTGTTCCTAACCAGTTTAACAAGAGCAGCACTAGAATGGTACAACACAGTTCAATCCCGAACTATAAAACTTGCATTGTGTTCTTAGTGCAATACTATGGCAATAAGAAACAGAAGAAAACTATCTCTATTCTATTCACCATCAGGCAAAAAAGGGGAGAACCTCTTCAGGATTTTCTATCCAGGTATAACATGAAGGTTTCAGAATTATTGGATTGTCATCCTGCAACAGCTGTGGAAGCATTCAAGATTGCTATGATTCAAGGACTAAGTTTCATACTTCCTTAGTCAAATATTCCCCTGAAGATATACAAACTCTCAATGCCAGGGCACAGACCTACGCCCGATTTGAGGAGAACGTACCTAATAGATTTTAGCATGCAACCCTCGTTACGGTGGAAAATAAACCCTGAGAGAAAGCATCGGGCTCGAAGAGTCAGAGGGGTCAACAATCCTTGATACCAACAGTCCAACCACCAGAGAAGAAGCAAAGAGTTGACAAAAATAAGGCAAGGTTCATGCCCCCCAGCCAATCAGACAACCTCTGGAACAGAGGGACAAAAGTAAGCATTGTGCCTATCATAGAGATTATGGGCATATTACTAACGATTGCAAGACCATCCGAAGACAAGTAGAATCCATGATAGCTAAATGAGACCTAGCAGAATACATTGGGCAGAAGGAACAGCCGAAGCCGAAGGAGGTCAATCCCAAGAGGGACGAGGGCAATCAAGTGAAAGTCATCCATGCGATATATGAAAAGTCCGAAGAAGATAGGAACTAGAAGAAGTTTATCACTCTAGACTTAGAGCAGTCCACAAATTGAGGAAATTATCCTCAGTCAATTCTATCTCCTTGGGCAGTATCAGAATCGGATTTGGAGATGAAGATTTGGCTACAGGTGCAACTCCCCCGATAAGTGCTTAAATGTGATGCATTTTAACACTTAAGATATGGTATTTAAGTTCATTTATCTATCTTACTTTCATGTTTTGGTACTTAT